TTATAAACAATAAGTCCTTTTGCTTCATCAATTTCATCTAATTAGGTTTATCAATATGAATGAGCTTTCAAAATTAAGCCCTAAATTATTATCATCATTGTTTGAACATTCATTACTTGAGAATTTATAATGGGTAAAAAGAAGCATAAAATAACAATTCGAATGAAAGAGGAAATGGAAATGCATCATTTCCACTTTATTGAAATGATAAAGACAAAATGAAAATCCAAAAAGTCCTTCGATGCTTACAAGCATAAACATTTGAGAAATAACATCATTTTCAAAGAAGTCCAAAAAGACAAGCAACTTTATCATTTCTTATCATCATGCCCTAATAAGATGGGGTAGAAGATTCTCCATAAACACTTGACATCGCTTCTTTATCGAAATTCAACAAACTAGCCTTGATTAAACTTTACACCTTATACTTGCAAGCAAGATAACTTTTTATTGAATTACCTATATTTTCACAATAATAATCACATTGGGCATTGGCATTGTACCATTTAAGGTATAAGGTTTTACCATATTTAGATGGACAAGTGTGATAAGGTGATTCTCAACAAATTGAAGAAATAGCTTAGTGTAAGACATAAAAATTGGATCAATACGAGTTCTATCTTAGTTATTCCATGGTCGATTCTAATTAGCCACAAGGTTGTTAAACTGAGTGAAGGGTGAATGTGCATGAATAGGTGTTTGTGGATTAGTTGATGTGGGTAAAGATTTACTGAAACATTGTTTATGCAAGGTAGTAGGGATGCTAGATTGGATGAGTATGATATGGGTCAAAATCTCTAACCTATTACCCCCTATAATTCATAGCTTACACATCTCTTTCATTCTTTTTTGTATGTCTTTTCTTTTTTTACATCTCTTCTATCGAATTTTTTGCTTTTGATTGCATTATATATTATTTCTTTAGAAATCATTATATCCATAAAATTTTTTATAGCATTCTAATCATCTTATTATAATATGGTGCTAAAAAAAATTAACAAATAAAACGATGGTCTCTTTTTCATTAAGAGGTAGTTCAACCTGAATGGTCATATTTTTCCATCTCTATGTATGTTTTTTAAAGTTCTCAATAGTTTTTTTCTTCATATTTTGCAATGATAGATAATCTAGGGCCATATCTACGATATGTCTATATAATGCAATGAATGTTTTAGCTAGCTCATTCCACGTACATATATGGCTTATATCTAGTTGAACATACCATTTAGCAGTGAATCCTATGAGGCTATTTTGAAGGACATGAATCAATAACTTATCATTATGGATATGAAAAGCCATCTTTCGATAATACATGATGACATGGGTCACATGACATTTAGTACCATCATATCTTTCAAACTCTAAGACTTTGAACTTCGATAGAATGACAACATTAGGCATTAGGCATTGTTCAATTGCATCCATAGAACCATAAATATCCATCCCCTCAATGGCTTGTAACCTTTCTTTTAGAAGATCCATCTTGCTTTGGAATTTTACGTCTTCTTTCACTTTTGACATGTTAGTCCTTAGCTTTTCCTGCTTTCTTGGATCATCTAAATTGAAGGCATGAATTAGGTTTGGCAATTTCATCCCTGTGGTAGAAGTAGTGTGCCCTTTAATTGAGTAGGTCCCTTTATTATTGGCATAATGGGTTAGGTAAATGAATATCCTCCAATTAGAGGCACAGGTTATGGTTTTACTCCCTGAAAAGGTCAAAGCTTGATTTGTAATGAAACCTAGTTGATATGAGGGGCCATTACCATTTTGTTGTAAATGTTCCTCTTAGGTAGCTTTTTACCTTACCACTTTTTTTCCTTTGTTCATTTTTTCAACATTGCTATAATTATGGTTAATTGTTCTTTTATTTCTTTATGTGTTTTTTTTTATCTTATCCTTCTTACTAGTTCATTCTTCTTCCATAACCCTGCTTGAGCATTGTACAATTAGTGGACAAGTTAGTTTGAAACCTTCATTGATCGAGCTATTCTTAAACTTTTTATTGCCATAATTTCAAAGTTAGGATCTTCTATCATTTATTTGCTTTTGTCATGACAAAAAGAGTTATTTATTCATTTTTCACAACAAAAAAGTAAGTATTTGCTAGAACTTACAATATTTTCTTTTTGATTTACGAATCCCTTTCATATAGTAACCTTTAAAAAATACTATGTACAAATGCACAATTGATGTATGATATGCATGAATGCAATGATGATTAATAAATGAAAGTGTAAAGCGACACGAGATAGAGAAATGCTCAAGACAATTAATGTTCATATCTACATGGTCTAAAAAATTTTAGTAATTTAAAATCTCCTTATTTTTTCTTTCAACAAATCATTTCTTCTCAAAATTTCCATTGACTATTTAAGCAATTGACGTTCATTCATTCGAAAATATGACTACTTTTTTCCCTTTTTTAAAAATAATTTGGAGAAAATATCTATTTTTTTTCTCTTTTATATGCTTCTTTTAGAAAAATAAAAAGCTCTCTTTTTTTAGAAAAACAAAAAACTATCTTTTTAAAAGAAAATAGCTAAAAGAATAGTTTTTTTTATCATTTTTTTATATCATTATGATGTTGAAGAAATGAAAGAAAAACAACATTTGTTCAAAGAAAAAAAAAAGAATTATGAAATAACACTTCTTTTTTTTTTGGAAATCAAAATATCTTAGAAAAAAATCTCTTTTTTTGGAAATGCAACATTTTTCAAAAATTTTGAAACCAAAAATTCTAAAAAATCATAAGAAAACTTAAATTTAAGAATACTACATAAGAAATTTTCACTTGAAACAAAAGAAACAAATTTTTTTTCCTTTTTTTTTTTATAACGAGTATCTAAATATAATTATTTTACTATCAATATAAAAAAAAGAATATTATCAGAAAATTTATTCCCTAAAAATTATTCCCTAATGTGTCATAATTTTTAGTGATTTCACCAAAAAAGGATAAGCATAACTCCATCTAAAGTTGTCTTCTTATAGTATACTATATACTTGGTTTGGATTCGTATGCATCTAAAAGCTTTCAAATTATTTTTCACTACTGTCCACGTTAAATTAGTAAGGCATCTCGATATTTATCAATTATAGGTTATGAATGTAATTGGTTCAATTTAAATGAGAGTATTTCAGTTGTCAATCTAAATATATTACTTCACGAGAGTATAGGTACTTTGTCCTTTTCTAAAAGGGATAGAGCTTGATATAGAATTTATGCATGAAATAAAATGTGTCATTGTGTGTATGAAGGAATATAAAACCACATTCCCTTTCCTAAATGTTGCATAATTTATTGAAAATAATATATATAAAATATAAAAATAACATTGAATAAATGACATAATTAAAATGAAATGTAAATTATTTTTAAAATTTTTTATTTTTAAACAAAATAAAATTAAGGAAATTAAAACTAAATATAAATTAAGATTAAAGATTATACATAATTAAGTTTTGGCTTAACTCTAAAAAAATTAGTCTCTAGTGGAGTCATCAAACCATCATAACGGTTTTGGGATTACTAGATAAAATAAAAGGAGTTGCTACTAATCTTTTTTCATTAAGTGCAATTGATCGCTTAATAAAATTTATCTTTTTAATAAAATCTTAAAATTAATTAAAACTTATTAAAAAAAATTTTAGTTCTTGAAAATAGTTTGTGTTCATAAATACGGTTTATGTGAAAAAAGATTAGCATCCCATCAGTGCTTTTTTAGAAATGATATCAATTATTCATGTGTTATGCTTTAATCTAGACAAAAAAAATCTTAATTTTGATATTTAAAAATAATTTCTTCAACTCCTTTTTATTGTCACAATTTTATTTCATTCATATTTTTTTCACAAATTTTTTTTTAAAAGGTATTATAGTCATTTTTATTTGGAAAATAAACTAGAATCTTATTATTGAAGAATTTTCAAAATATTTCAATATGTTGATAATATTAAAAAAAAATTTCTTACATAAAAATTTCTTTAAAATCATTGCTTTGAATTTTTTTAAAATTTTATCATTGAAAACTTATGTTTATTTTTTCATAATAAAGTAATACACATGAGATGCAAATAATAAAATATAATATTGATGCGTAAATATTCAAATTTTTATTTGTTTATTTATTCATTTTTATTTTTTAAAAAATGTTTCTTGTTGACTTTTTATGTTTTTTTTTTTCATTTTAAAATCCTATTTACGAGTAGAAGAAAACTGAACTTGTTTTTTATATTGAAATTGTACATTTTTATAAATATTTTAATATGCTAGTGTTATTAAAAAATCTTAGCATTTAGAGAATTCTTAAAAGTTACTATTTAAACTTCTTAACAATCTCATTATAAACAAAATCTTCTCTTATTTATTTATTTATTTATTTAGGAAACATTCCTTTTTTGATAAAGTATAAATAAGTTAAATTTATTGTTTTTGAAACCTAAAATTTATCATTATGAACATTATTTTATTTTCTAAAAATGATATTAGATATTTATTTAAAAAATTTAAAATTTAAAATATGCATAAACTATAAAATAAATAATTTAGTAAAAATTAGACATACAGCTTGTAGTTATATAGACAAATAAAATATTTTTAAAATAAAAAATAAAATCAATAATTATAACTAAAATTTTAAATATATAATATTCGACTTGATAATTTGTATCATGCTTATTTTATATTAAATACATATAAAATATAAAAATTATTATATTATAATTAATTGTTGACATGCTTAACATAAAATATATATTTTTTATTTTTATTAAATCTATATTATAATTTGTATTAAAATTTTAAAATATATTACTTTTATGTATTTTTATATGTTTTTGTGTTATACTGATATATTGAATCTGCAACTGTAATGTACACTTGTATAAAAAGCGTACACGAGAGAGAGTATTTCACACGCTTGAGGCAACCTATCAATCGTCGAATCCCAAACCTTATCTCCCTTTTCTTTTTTTTTTAATAGTAAAAATAAAAAATATAAATATAAAAGTAGTTGGAAATTAATGTATTGATAATGGATGATCATCTCCCTCATTCTCTCGAGCGTATTTTCTCTGATCCCAAATCTCCTAACCCTAACCCTATTAAAAAACCAAATAATTTCTCATGAAAATTTCAGATTTTAGGTTATCTCATTCTTCTCTCCAGAAACCCTAGCTTCTGTTTTCTTCTTCCTTTTATTCGATATAGAGCCCACGAAAGGCAAATTCGGGTATTCGTTCCACCATGGAAGGGTCTGTGGTGGAGGATCTTGGGGCGCCGGAGTCTTGGGAGGTGGCCGATTTGGACGCCACCATGAGCCGCTTGATGCTGTCTTCAAACAAGGAACCCAAACCAGAATTTCCTGATGCTACTTCTTCTTCATCTTCTGTTTCTTCCGCTGAGAAGGTGGTTGCGGAGGATGTCATTAACCAGGTTGATCAGTTTCTCCGTGAGGCTATCCAAAACCCCCGCGAGCGCCTTTCCAGTATGTCTCCCTCTCTGTTTCTAATAATTCATTAGGGTTCTTGGATTTACGGATTGTTGTTTGGTACAAGATATTTAGACGCCGGCGTTTAATCATAATCCTGCTGCTTGTTTAGGGTTTCTTCTTGACCTAACTTTTGCCATGGTCTCGGCCTCTATCTGAACCACTTGTTGCTTCAGTTGGCCTTATTCTACTGTACGGTGATGAAAAAGCAAAAATAGGAAAGAAAAAAGTTTTATTTTCTTGGAACTAATCATGTTTTTGGTGCGTGCTTATCTGTTATTTAATAATTAATATCCTAAATAGCAACATGCTAATCCAGCTTTATTTATTATGTGAACTTATTGTGGACTGTTTTACTTTGTAATGGTGCATTTGATATGAGAACATTGCCAGTGACCTTGTCATAACACATTATGTTGCAATGACCAGAATGAAGTTCGTGAACTTTGTGAGGATATTGTGAGAGATTTGATCAGTTACTGTTAAGGGATTTTTAGAAGAGTGTCAGCATTGTATGATGGCATAATGAACTGACTCTCTTTTAAAAGTTGGGCATTTAATGAAGCATGTGGGAGGGGTAATAAACTATACATGGATGGAACAGGTTGAATGTGGATCGTATCTGAAATTGAATGATCAAAAAAGAAAGTTGGGATGCAAAGTTAGTTCACCATTATGATACAAAAAATTCAGTCAGATTAATTTGGAAGGTTTCTAATGGATGTGGTTTAAGGGTATTGAAATAGCATTAGCTGGAATAATAGGCCCAAGTTTATTAGAGTGATTGTGGTTTAAAACACTTTCAAAAGGAGGGATTAATTTTGTTAGAAGATAGACAGATAGACAGCAAAGGCGCATGATTTTTTTTATATTATTGGTTGGATAGAAAAAATGATTTCTAGGAAGTTCAGATGACAACAGTAAAGTGCAGCAGGGGTGGGATTTGCTTCCCCTTTTCTTCTAGATTATGAACTACAGTTTTTGATCCAGAATTTGTTTTAATTAAGATTTGAGGGCTGTAAGTGTTGGACATCATTCTTGAAACGAAGGCTTTATAGGTAATTGGGAAGTACACCTTATGTATAGATAAGCGAAAATCTTTCTGAGTTCGTTTTCCACTTTTCTAGGAAAAATAGTGATAATATGTTCTAGTTCAAACTTTTCTATAATTGCATTGTCGAGACATTACTAAATTACTTATTTTATCATTAAATTGTCATGGTTGCAAGATCCAGGTATGTTTTATAGTGATAAATCTCAAAGAGTTTTACTGCTTACACTAATGAAGCAGCTATAAATTATTATTTTTGTTTAAAAACACATGGCTTTTGTTTAAAAACTTATGTTTTTTTGTTTCAGTTCGTAAGACCAGTTAGAACATATCCACACTTGAAAAGACAAAAAAATAAAATAAAATTGAAAGACTAGATTCTGGTCGATTGACCTAACTCCATTACGAACCTGTCTTGGGGGACCTGCCAGAAAGGGCAAAAATTGTAAAGTTGATAGATAAAAACCTACAAAAAATATCTTATTAATGCAGCCTTCAATAATATCTTTTTCTTTTGAACCAACTGATGCTGTTTGTTTCAAGAGTATTTTCGTGAGCAAGGATGCTGGCAAATTTTCCTTCAAATGGCTTCTCTTGCTGAAACTTTTTGCAAGATTCATCATTTTAGGTAGGATAGGTGTTGCTTTTTTGGTTGACTAATAAGAGAGATACATTAGGGTATCATTTGCAAGAAAGAGTCTATGGTAAGTTTGAATATGATTGATTGGGGTTGAGATCAGTATAGTAACTGAAGAAAATAGTTTTCTGGAAACTCTTGATTGCAGTGAAAGGATGATTTTGCGTATATGTTTGCTAGAGTTATTTGGTTCAAATTTATGGTGTCTGAGCTGTAAGAAGAGGATTTTGCTTGTGTTGCAGTAGTGGGAATTGTGTATATTGTGTTGTGAGCAAAATCCTTTTAGCTAAAGAAATCTGGAAGAAAATAATAGTAGTAATTTCTAAGTTTAGATTCTTTAGTATCACAAAGCTCAACTTATTGAAAGTTTAAAGCTGTTGCAACAAATTCAGTGGAAAGAGAGGATTTCTTTGAAGAACAAGTGACTTTAACACTATTAATGTGCTCACATTGTCCCAATTTTAAATCTATAGAAACCAAGTATTTAGTCTCTACACTAATGTTGTTTCCATAGTTAACCTTTTCATGGGATTGTGATTTTTATTTTGCGTAAAGCATCCCTCTGGGATCAATAAATTTATTTCATGGTACTTACAAATTTGCTGGCCACATGAGGTGCCAGACATTTCTGCAGTGAACGTAGCTGGGCCACGTACCCTTCTATGTTATATTTTGTTTTTGTGGAGTCGTTTTAAGGTCAGCTATTAGACTAAAGTTGTTTGGTCTATTTTGATTTATGCTTCTTGTCTTGTATTCAATTTCCTCAGATTACAGTTTTTGTGCATGTACAATATTTTGTATGTTCCAATACTTGCACCTTAGTTAAATATTGTCATGAAGATGATGTTTAATGGACGGTTTCTTTATGATACATAATATTTTGCAGTATTGATTATTTTTTCCATGTGCAATATAACATATGATGTATGCTATGGATGCTTTGTTTACGTATCTGTTTTGATAGTATAATTACTTTTGCTATGTGACTTTGAGGAGTCTGCTTCTCCAACATTTAACTTGTTTCTCAAATACATGATGTCTGCTATAAATGCTCGGTCTTTAGTTTTGTATCTGATTTGAACTAGCATATCAAACCTATTGGTCCATCAGCTAGGTATAATTTCATTTTCAGTGCTTATGGTTAATTGTTTAAGGTTGCTATCTGTGTTGCACCATCTTCTTCTCTGTGGGACAGCTGGCATGGATTGAATGAGTTGGTAAACAGTTACTCATAAGAAATACCAATAATTTCTTTGTTTAGATTCCTGCCATTGTGAAGAGAATATGTGCTGAACATAATTTTAATTGGAAAATAAGTTAATTTCTTGTAGGGCTTCTTTTTAATTTAGCAGAAGAGTCTATTTATCCATTATTATATATGTTTAGAGTATCACGATCACCAAAGTGATAATGCATATAGGTCTTTTGTATAACACTTTATATAGTGGTAAATTTTTATTGAAAAAAAGATTAACAAAAGAAAAGGATTTAATATAACTATTGTTCAATCATATTTTCTTGTCATTTCTTTCACTTTTTGTTAAGTAATTGATTTTTTTCCAATGTTTAGTTTCAAATGAAATCAGCTTGATGATTGAAGAAATTATCTTGAGATTATTAAAGAGTTTTGTTTACAACAATTAGATTGAAACTGCAGAAGGAAACATGTAGATTTTAAGCCTTCCAAGCACTTTAAAACTAGCTAGTTTTTATATTACTGGGGGATAAAGGAGTCTTAAAGAACAACTGGCTTCTTGCATTAGGTAGTTAACGTCAGATAAAAGTAATAAGGACCTTGTAGTCACAGTAAGAGCTAGTTTCTTGGGTTATTCATTCCTTGATAAGGTTTTTTGGTTTTTCATTCCTTGATAAGCTGTAAGTTGCTCAAGTAGTCTGCTGAATATCTTATTGATACAAATGAAGCTGTTTTGTTTCTGTTATGTGATTCTAACATTTTAAGAAGTATGCCCTTTTGTTTTTAATGTTCACTTACTTGTGAAGTGATAATTATCATTTTGCAATTTTTTCATGTATGACAAAACAGTAATATTATTTTATTGGTGTGGTTGTTATTCTTTTTATTTTAGCATATATACTGGCACTTATTTATTTGGGTACTATTGTATCTTCAAAGAATGAGTAGTCTGCATCTTTCAATATTTGAGCTTCTCTACTCGTAAAATGAAAATTCTTAATTTCTTTTGTTCAGTCCTGAGGATGGAGCAAGATGTTGAAAAATTTATCCGTGATCCTACTCAGCAGCAATTGGAGTTCCAACAGCTGCCTACATCATATTTAAGGTTGGCTGCACATCGTGTTGCGCAGCATTATTCATTGCAGTCAATGGTTTTATTAGACAATAATTTACCTGATGGTTCTGGTTTTAGAATCATTGTCTGCAAGACTTCTGAATGCAGGCTTCCTCCTGTACGCCTGGCAGACATCCCTGTAAATTTACCATCAGAAGACCCTGGTGTTGTTAAGGTGGCAATTAAACAGAGGCCACAGAAAAGGTCTCAGCTTGCCAGCAATTCAAATTCAAATTCTTTGAAGTCAAACAACTCCAAAAGTGTGGAAGAAAGAAAAGAGGAGTATAACCGAGCTCGAGCAAGGATATTTAACTCTAATAGTTCTAGCAGTGGCTCTGGTGGAAAACCAGAAAGTGAGCTGAGGTTGCAGGATGCTTCCTACTATGGTTCCTCAGGGATGCCAAAGATGGAAGAGAAACCTGTTTCAGTGGTTTCTGATGTAAATTCTGGTAGGGGTTTGATTGAATCCTCAACGAGTAGTAATAGGTCAGCTAGAAGTAGGACAGAAAAGGAGCCAAGTGGTAGGAGCAAACCAAATAATAGGGTGGCCATCTTTCGGGATCGTGAGACTGACCGCAAGGACCCTGATTATGACAGGAATTATGACAGGTATGCCCTCTGTTTTAATTTTTTGTTTCCTTCAGTTTATTAGATTTTCTGATTTATTTCTGGGGTTTCAAACTTTGCAAGATTCTTTGAAGTTAATATTGAAAGTTATATAGTTAATTTGGAACTTGGAAGGGAATAACTGTTTTAGTCTCATAGAACGAGGCTTTAGAACAATTTTTATTTCTTTACTGTTTCAATAAGAGTGGATGAGTCTGATTGTTTTCAGGATGATGAGTCTCATCCATATCATATATAAAAAACCATTCATATTGTTTTGTTCTGTATGATCTATGTTGTTGATATTGATCTGTATGGTTCAAATATCTTAATTTTCTTTATCTTTTCATCAACTATCATATTTGTTTCATTTCAACCCTATTTTGTTACATTATCATCCTTTTCTTTGCTGATACCTTTTTAGTATATGAATGGGAAAGAGTAATTTACCATTTAAATAAAACTTATATATCCATTAATTAGAAAACTGAGAGATAATTGGTAGAAGATAAACTTCACATTAGCATAAAGAACGGACAAAAATTTACCTCCACCATCAAATTGTCTTTGGCAGTATGTTAAATTAAGTCCCGTGTTCTGGCTTCCACCATCAAATCACTCAACTTTTCAAATATGTTTTGTTCAAGGGAAAACAGTAAATTATGAGGTTAACTACCACATTTAAGCTTATCCTGAATAGAAATTTAATGGATGTATGATTCTTATAGCGCTTGACAGTGATTGAAAATGCACTAATCCACCTATCTATATATCTTTTTAATTTCTTAATTTGCTTCAATAGGAAATTTATTGAGAAGAGACGAATGCCTGCAACTGCAAGGCCTCAATACTAATTTTAGGATAACATATTCAAAATCTTGGATGGGAAGTGTAAACAAGGCAATGAAGAGGTTTCAGTTAACAGGGTGGAACCTATTAACACCTGACTCATCAATGTCAGCCAGTATTTTATGACTTTTCAGAACAAAATTAATCATTATGATAGAGCTATTAGCTAATAATTTTGGACCTTAATAAGTCTACTAACAATAAAGAGGTCTGTGTTCATTATTTTTCACTGTCTTACATGGTAGGAATATTTTATTTGATTGCAAATTGCGGAAAAGAGAGAAAATTTGATAAAAATCTTAACAATATCAAATATATTTTCAATACCACATGCTGTTAAGATCGATGCTGGATTGACCTGTTGCAATTGTATTTTTTTTTTTATTGCATGTTATATATGCTACTTAGGTATGCAAAGCCATTTTTAGTTTATATGGTTTTTTTTTCCCTTCAGGTACATGCAAAGATCTGATCCTGGATTTGGGTTCAATAGTGGACCATACACAATGCAGCCTATGTACACCCCTGCAATTAACTACAACACTGAATTTCCACAACTTGGATCTACTCATAGGCCTCAGATATCTACTGAACACCAACCTCTGCCTCTGCCACAACATATACCTGGACCCTGGGTTGCACCTTCAACTGCTACAGGAATCAGTTATGGTCATCCTGAAACAATGATGCCACCTTTTAATCCAAATCATGTTGGTGCACGCTCCACCTCTACCATATATTTACATTCATCTCAGTATCCTTGTCAGCATCCTGGAATGCCTTTCATCCACCCTCATGAGCATGTCCACCAGCCTTTTTCACAGGTATGGCAACTAAACAACTCTCCTTCCTTATGTTGGTAAATACACCTCTTTTTTGTTCCTTCTTCTGATGCATTTTTAGTCACCTTTTTTTAGTAAGCACTTAACCATTTTAAGGGGTGGGATTCCATCTTCAAACAAAATTTCAGTTTTTTCATCACCACTTGCAGCAAGTTAAGAAAACAAGAAAAGTTCTGCTAGGTTTTAAGCTGAATCTTGAAAATTTTAAAGCTTAGGATCGACGGTACACCCGTCTATATAAATTTATAATCATGGTTAAGTATGCTTTTTAACCATTCTCTCTCCTAAATACCCTCTTTCTTACCCCCTTCCACTCTTCATTTCCATTCTCTTTCTCGATCTTAATTGTACATTTCCATTGTTCACTCAAAGATAAAAGACATATCTATGAGGGCAAACAATAAAATCTGTTATAAATCAGATGCTTTCCTATAAAATTTATAGATAGTGGCTTTGCTTGGTAGGAAGGATGGAAAGGGAAAGGGATGGAAAACTTGTTAATTTAATACTTTAGATTCATAACGACTTTCCTACTTTGTAGCTTAACCATTAAATTAACAAGTTTTTCATCTTTACCCCTTTTCATCTTTCCTGTCAAGCAAAACCAGTGTCAGAGGGAGTATCAGATATTATGAGGTACTTAGATGTATCCCAAGGTTTCTTTTGCTACCCAGGCTTGAAGATGCCTGCAAATCTCTGCATTTAAATAATCAACTGCAAAAACAGCAAGCACCATTGAAAAAGCAGTGAAAGACTAGAAGCACACCAAAAGAAAAGAGAAAAAAGAAATGAATAAAACTTGTTTCAGATTAAAAGCAGAATTTACATGTTGACCCTGAAGAGTAGAAGGACTTATTTTTATTTAGGTAGACTGAGTTTGTGCATCATGTCTTGGAAGAAACAAGGGGGGGGGGGGGGTAATAAAAAGGAGCAAAAATTAAAAACAAAGTTTGTCTCTTTAGTTTGCATTTCTGATTTTGGTCTTTTAATCATTGAATTTATACAGTATCATCAACAGCAGCCTGATACTAGTTTTGGATTAGCCCGGCCCCGGTGAGGGGCTTGGGCCATGCCTGCACCCTGCCAGCTAAAAATTGATGTGAAATATGCGGGTCAATGCAGCAACGAGTTATCTAAACTGGCAGGAGTGCAGGCATAGGGAACCGGGGTGAACTGGATTTCTACATTATATTGATGGATACATGCATTGATCCATTCCACCACCCTCGGTTTTATCTTGGAGCTTCTTGTATCTTTGTCCAAGGTTGGAGGAGCTCTTTTGGTTATCGTATATTTACTGCCGTTGATGATGATGAAAAACAGATCAGAATTATCGGTGTGTGATTGCTCATCAATGATGAAGGTATGGCTTACCTCCATCATGCCCCTTTACAAAAGCAAATATTATATTACAAAATTGCATTTATGTTCTTTTGTAGCTTTTTAGATTATTATCCATATAAATATGTCATCTATTATCTTACAGCTACATGAGGAGCCAATGGGAATTGGGACGCCACGTTTTCTCTGGTAGGGGTCAAATTGCTTCTGACCTGTGGGGCTTTTCAATTTGCAGCATCGCCTAATGGTAAAGCTTTTACCGAGAAATAATATGCCTTTACTGGAAAAGTTCTTTGCTGAAATAATAAAGCAAAACCAGATTATGTACCATATAAGCATTTGATCGAGGCCTATTTTGAACCTTTTGATTGCTAGAAAGAGGAGAAAGCTTGGTCGTAGCAGAAGGTAAGAGCAGCTTCTGTGTTTCATCTCTTTCTCCCAAGGGTTGGTTCCAAAGGCATAAGTCGGAAGAATCAAGCATCCCAAAGGACTAATGGAAGATTCAAGGCTTTGAGCCGGATTGAGCTGCATGTAGCCATTTCGCATTGGAAACCAATACCTATATCGATAGGACTCCTTACCTAGAGTCCCGGTTGTTTTCCAACTGGATGAGCTGTACATTCGAGTATCTAGCGTTTATTAATATTTCAGCAAGCTGAGTATTTGTAATCTTGATTTACAGGCATACACTTGTTTTCTGAATATTCTGAGTGCTGAGCTGTCTGGGCGGAATAGGAAAACGAGTAGTTTTTTCTGCTCGTGACTTCGCGCAAGCAATGACTGGCATATTTAAACCAGTTATATTACAGAATGCTATAGCCTCTCTTTCAGAGCATAATTTGGGAGCAGCAAGTGAAATGGGTCATCAGTCTTTTTACTGCAGCCTCAGCATATTGAAATTTACGGAGGATCCGGTCATGTGCATGTTTTTCTTGGTTTGTCAGGTTGCTGACATTCATGTATTCGATGCGTATTCGGAGTGAAAACTATCAACTGGATAATGAAATCACCTGACTGCATTTTGCCTTTTATTTCATTAGTTTATGCATTTTCATGTGTTTAAATTATGGTGGTGTTTTGTAAATACTTGTGTCGAGGCAAGAGTAAGCGCTCAATCATACTCTATTGAAATTATTCACATAAAAAGCTCAAATTAATTAAGGGTTACTCGAGCCCAAGATAAGATTCCAAGTCTAATTATTGGTTAATAAAATTTTGGAGCAACCTGTTGTAACCAATTGTCGCTCTTTGGATAGTATTTCAGCCAATACATTTGAAATTACTGCCGTAATTAATATAAATATTACAATCACCAAATTTGTTAAATATTTTAATCATAATAATTGATAAGTGAATTTCAATTCCATTTTTGTCATTTGGGAAGATTTTCTGTCTCCGTATCTGGCAATTTTCAGATATTTGTATCACGGGTTTTTTTGTTTCAGTCATTTGACAAATAAGAGCCTTATTTTCAGCTTCAATTTCTACCATATGGGACTCTTCTTCCGGTCCTTATGCTTTGATCATTATTTTGTTTTATTTTCTTTAATTGACAACTTGATGTATTTTGTCTTTCAACCTTTTAATTCTTTGAAAGTTATTCTAAGATCATCTACAAATAACGTTATATTGTAATATAATGAGTAAAGTGTGATTTGAAGCTAATAAATCTTTTATTTTCTTTTTCTAATATAAGTTTTGCATCTTTTGTGTAGGTTTAATTAAAGTTGTGAGCTTTTTAAACTCCTTTTTTTCCTCTTAAAGGTGAGCTTTTCATTTACGTCTTTGGGTTGGTGAACATATATTCTCAAGGTGTTGAAATTATTAATGTTTTGTGAGTGTAATTATGGGGATATAATCATTTAATTTTCATCTAGTATCAACTTGGTATAAGAGTTTTGGAATGTATTAAACTTTGTGTTCAAAACATTATAATCGGTTTCACTTCTATTATCACGGTTGTTCATGGAAGAAGACTTGATGAATAAGTAGGCGAGAGGAGCTTTTAATATGCGAAGGGATTAAATGAGAAGAAGGATTCAGCGACTCCAACACATATCGACCATTATGTAATCTACGATTATTCAACTAATAAAAAGTTGATAGTGATGCATCCAGAAGGAGATGAGTATACCCTTTTTTATCAAAATGAAAGGGGAGAGTCTAGGGATGATTCTAACCATCATCAACAAAATCATAGAAATCGTGACTACCATTGTGATGTCAAACTTGATATTCCAAGATTTGAAGGCAAAAATGCATAAACATGAGTTCCTTTATTGCCTTTATATAGTTGAAAGAGTTTTTGAATTCAAAGAATATTTAGAAAAATGCAAGGTGAAACATGTAGCTGTCAAGTTAGAAAAAATGCTTTCTTCTGGTGGGAAAACTTGAAAAGATAGCGAGGTCATGATGGGAGAAGCAAAATCAAGACTTGGGAAAAGATGAAGAGGGAGCTAAAAAGAGCATTCTTACGTAAATTAGAGGTATAATAACTTCCTCAAATTTCATAATCTCAAGTAAAAGGAGTTGTGCATGGAAGAATATACCATTAAGTTTAAACATCTTATGCTTATATGTGATGCGAAAGAACTTGAAGAGCTAAAAATAGCTCGTTATTTGGGTGGTTTAAAGGAAGAAATTGGCAATACAATTTGTTTATAGCTTTATCAAAGTTTTAATGATGTGAGGAAGCTTGCTGTGAACATAGAGAGGCAACAATAAGAGTCGAAAGAATAGTTTCAAACTAGTCATTTGTCCAAATCCTACTAATCATAATGGTGCTTCTAACTCTTTTTCAAACACTTCAGTAAAGATTTCATTGTCAAAGTTTTCATACAAGGTTAAGATAGAATCCAACTCTAAACAATCTAATTCTTCTAACTCAAATTCGAGTAAATGTTTAAAATGTGAAGGTTTTGGATGTATTACATTTGAATGTTTTAACTTTAAAATTATCACCTTAATGAAAGAAAAAAAAAAACGAAGAAACCTTCAATGATATAATTGAGCAAGCTGAACCAGAATATGAAAATTTTGTGGTACATGCAAAATTAAGGTCAAGCTCGTCATTCGAAAGAGACTTAAAATTGTTGCTATAAAAGAAGATGGTCGATGGCATGAAAATATCTTCCATACTAGATGCACACATCTCATGACAAGGTGTGTGATGTCACTATTGATGAAACTGCAAAATTATGGTGGCAAAAACAGTGGTATAGAAGTTGCCATTAAAACCCAATGAACATCCATATACAAGATTCACTAGCTGAGAAAAAGAAATTAATTAACAGAAAGTGTTTAATTAAATTTTCAATTGGAAAGCACTATCAAGATTTTGTTTGGTGTGATGTTATACTTATAGATGTTTGTTACATCTTGTTAAGGAGCCAATATAATAGAAGGGGCCATAAAACACATACACATTTGTAAAAGGTAAGGTTAGAATTGTTTTAGCTTATTTGAAACCAGAATCTACTAGCAAGCATACTAAAGTGGAAGATTGTTGTCCAAAATACAAATGCACATAGCAATAGTCGCTGGTAAAATGTTTTATGCACTTGTGATGACAAAAGGTGCAACAAGTGAATTAGATTATGTTAATCTCTTAGATCAACCATTTTTGAAGGAATCTAAAGATGTTCTCAATCATATTTCATTTGGTCTTCCATCAATAAGGGACATATAACATTGTATAAAAGTCATTCTTGGGTCCATTCTTCCCAAAAGGCAACATATAGAATGAATCCAAATGAGCATGAAGAATTGCAGAGGCTAGTATATGAACTTCTTGCTAAAGGTTTGGTGAAGGAAAGTATGAGTTCTCGAGTTGCTCTAGCCTTACTAGTGCTAAAGAAGAATGGTTCTTAGTGTATGTTTGTTGATAGTTGTGCCATCAATAAAATCACCGTCTAGTATAGATTTCCCATTGCTAGACTTAATGATCTTTTTGATCAATTGCATGGTGCAATAGTATTTTCCATAATTGATCTTCAGTCGCAGATATCACCAAATCAGAATGAGGCCTAGAGATGAGTGAAAAACAACCTTTAAAACCAAAAATGGGCTCCATAAGTCGTTGTTCATGCCACTAAGATAACTAATGCACCTAGCACTTTTATGCGCCTAATGACTTCACTAATATTGTTGTGTTCTGGGGTATATTGTTTTTGCGAAGGCATCAAGATGGATCCTAGTAAAGTTGAATCAATTCTAAGCTAGATGTTTCTAAGTCATTTCATGACATTCGTAGCTTCCACGGGTTGATCTTTTTCCACAGCCAATTCATTAGCAGTTTCATTAGCAGTTTCAAAAGTAAATTTATGTAAGTAATATTCATATACTATTATAATTTTATTCCAAAAAAATGCTTTTTTTATTTCTTATAATTTTTCTATTTTTTATTTAAGAAAAATAGGTAATCAAAACTTTTTTTGTATTGAATATATTTATAAGGACTTCAGTATTTTGATAATATTTTAGAAAAATATTCTTACTTAAAGATTTTTAAAGAATTATTACTTGAAATTCTTTAATATCTTATCATAAAAAAATTTTAATTTTAAATTTTTTGTTGTTTTTTTTAAATATATTTCTTAGCACTTTTTTTACATATACTATTTTTTATTTTCAAAAATTAAAATGCATACATGAGCAAATAGATAACTTAAAAAAATATATTAAAAAAATAAAATAAATAAGTAAATTATAAAAAAAACCCCAAAAGACCTGTCAAGGCTAGTCAATATGTTGGTTTCAACCATTCGATCGGTCGGTTCGTTGCTTGAGCGATTTTTTCTAGTTTGACTGATGGTTTGAGAGCCTTCATCTTATTTTTTCAACAGCTCAACAATTGGTTCGAGAGGTCAAATCAGTTCACTAACGGTTTGACTGGACTATCACAGGGTTACTAAAAAGAAGTGAAACCAGTCGGATTGGCAGTTCATACATCAGTTCACTAGGTTTGGGTTTGATTTAGTTTTTAACTATAAATTATGAAGTTTTTTTTTTTCAAATTCATTTTAAACTCTTATAAAAAAAAATTCCAAACTTCCTTTCAACTTTGAAAAAACAGAGCCTAGTTTTCCGTGACTAGTCCATCACGCCTACCACCATCATTGGTCGTCGACCACCATTGCTAGTAACCAAAAAAGGCACAGAAAATACCTAACTATGCCTCTCATCCCATTTATCCTCGTTTTGGCCTCATTTTCATCAAAAACTATCCCAAGGTCCTAAGATCGACCTTCAAAGTTTTGACCAGACTTTTTTTTTTTTTGGTTTTTTTATACTGGCACTGAGGCCTCGCTCTAAATGCTATGATGATTTTTTTTTTTTGGGATTTTGTTGTTTTTGGATTTGTTGGTTTTAGGATTTTTTTTAGGGTTTTTGTGGTTGTGGGATGGGTTTCAATTGAATGGGTTTTGGGTACTAAAGGCGGACGATTTAAGGACTTAGTGTTTGAGGTTATGGTTCGGCCTACAGTGGGGTTTTGGGAATTGGTATTTTGTTGCTCTTATGGTGGTGGGTTACGATTGGTTGTGAAAAAAATGGGTAGTTTAGTGCAAATGATTTCTAGTGATAGATGCTGATGTTGGTGGATTTAGTTGAATGGGTGTTTGTGTGGGATTTTTATTTTGGTGCATAATATTCAAAAAAAAAAATGGCCTCCTTAGTACTTGATGTTTGGTTTAATATATAGGCATTATTCAAAAATTAGTTTCATGAAAAACCTAGTGAATATAGATGGAAAGCTAAAAGATAAATGGGAGGGTTATTGGTAGCTCAATTTTAGCTACAATGGTGGTTGGGTTGGGTAGGGTGGCTTGGTAAGGTAGAGGGAGATTGGTACCATGCATAGCACAAAACTGAAGGTTTTTGTCTTATTTTTTTATTATTATTTTTTAAAATTAATCAATATTAAATCAATCTGATAAAAAATATAAAAATAAGCTCGAAAGTCAAAATAATTTAGAACACAAAATTGTTAACTCAAACAAAAAATTGTCTACAACTATCTCTTTTTACACATTTATGAGAATTAGGAGTAAGGCAAAGATATAGGTAATAATTTTGTTTGGGCCCATTGACCTCAAACTTTTTTTTTTGAAAATTTGTTTTTTTTTTTTGGATTTTTGGATTTTTGGATTTTTTATTTAATTTTTCTTGAAAATCTAATCTCATTAAAGGCTCGATAACTTTTGAAAATAAATTAAAATAAAAATTTCTCTCACTAGAGGCTCCACAACTTCAAGATAGATTGCGATAACTTAGAGATTATGCTCGAAAGTCTTACAAATCAATTTTGAAAATTTGTTTGTAAAAAAAGAAACATTCAATTTTTAAGATTTCTTGACCTTTGAATATCACCACTGAAAGGAATTCGGATATCACCATCAAGTAAATATGCGAATGATATTCAAATATAACTACTTATATATCACCACTAAAAAAACTTTAATGATATGCAAACATGAATAGTCGATATCACCATCGAGTAAAGATGCAAATGACTTTCAATATCACTATAAAAA